GGCGACTTCATTACCATTTTATTATTATTATTATTATTATTATTATATATTTTTTAAAGGACGGTAGCCTGGAGATATCATCGTGGAACTGACCGCCCCAGTTAAATCAGGAAATTTGTGTTCATCTAGTTTCATCTGGATTCGAACACAGGTCAATATTTCAACAGTTTGTGTCAGGTTTTTTTTTTTTTTTTTTTTTTTTTTAATGTTATCATTTTTCTGACCGGCCGCAGGTAATGCATAATTATCTTAATCTGTTCATCTCATTGCATCTGGATTCGAGCTTAGGTCATGTGTACCCCAATTGAACTACCCTCTTCCCCCGAACACAACGCACCCTCATTTTGACTGTATCGGGCCGCAAACATACCTTGTATACGCTCATTTTCAGGGTGCGTTATATTCGGGGGAAGACGGTAGCCCCGTTAGTAATTACGGTCGGTCGGTTTTCTAGGGGATCGGTTTGGTCGATTGTCCAACCTCAGGGCTAAAACCGACCTAGTATATAACCCTTGCTTATATGATCTCGGGAAGGGGTGAGGGGGAGGGGTATATAAAGGGGGTTGGGTGTATAAAGGAGGAGGGGTATATAAAGGGGGTTGGGTGTGTAAAGGGGGGTCGGGAAATAAAACAGGAGGATAGATTGATTACTCCTGGCCGCAGTTCTTTTTTGGCGTTTTCTGAACCGAAATCGCCAGGTCTTACCGGATTTCCGCCGGTAGGACATGGCTTTTTTTTTTTTTTTTTTTTTTTTTTGAAAGGGTGACGGCAGTTTGTGGGCGTACTGATTGGTCCCAGGTAATTCAGAATGATAAAATTTTTAAAAAAAAAATCGATTGTCCAACATCATGGAACTGATCGGTGCCAGGTAATTCAGATTCAGAATGATTTTTATTCTGGTCATCTGATTGTATCTGGATTCGAACTTGGGTCTGATGCAGATTTCAGCAGTTTGTGGGCGTACCAACTGAGCCACCAGGCCCATTGGTAGGGACATGACAATTTCTGTTGAACAAAGACCGAAATTGCGGCCAGGAACGTCGAAGTTAAATATGCCCAAAGGGGGCAAAAAATAGTATTACTGTAGTAATTCCTCTCTCCAACCAGATACCCCTTAACCCCCCGATTTCCAGAAATAGGGGGGTCAGGAAATCAAAGAGGAGGGGGGGGGAAGGTTGACTACTGTAGCTCTCCGCAACCAGACACCCCTTTACACCCCTTTACCCCCCTCCCCCTCTCTTCCCCCCTTATTTGTAGAAAATAGCACCCCTATTTCCAGACAATGGCACGTGGAAGAGAGGTGATGATTTATCGTGTGGTCATAGTAGTAA